ATCCGCAAAGTAAGGTTACAAGGCACGTAGCTCTCGGGGGAAGTTGGTATCACTGCCGTATAGTGGGAAGCCAGCGTAAGTGAACTAGCATTGCCAGTCATCAGTAGCTCATCGACTGACGTTGTGGAGAAGGTTAGAGATGAGCGTCCTCATTCCATTTCCCTCCAAGTGCAAAGTTTGCACTGTATGAGGGCTATCTGGAAAGTAAGGTTACAAGGCACATGGCTCTCACAGGGAATTCTCTTGGGGGAAGTCGGTATCACTGCTGTGTAGCAGGAAGCCAGCGGAATCGAACGAGCAGTGCCAGTCATCAGTAGCTCACTGACTGACCTTGTGAAGAAGGTTAGAGATGAGCATCTTCATTTCGTTTCCCAAGTTCAAAGTTCACACTGTACGAGGGATATCCGCAAAGTAAAATTACAAGGCACATAGCTCTCATGGGGGAATTTCTTGGGGGAAGTTGGTATCACTGACATGTAGAGGGAAGCCAGCAGAAGCAAACGAGCAGTTTCAGTCATCAGTAGCTCATCGACTCACATTGTGGAGAAGATTAGAGATGAGCGTCCTCATTCCGTTTCCTTCCAAGTTCAAAGTTCACGCTGCACGAGAAATACCCGCAAAGTAAGGTTACAAGGCACGTAGCTCTGGGGGAAGTCTGTATCACTGCCATGTAGCAGGAAGCCAGTGGAAGTGAACGAGCATTGCCAGTCGTCAGTAGCTCAACGTCTGGTATTGTGGTGAAGGTTAGAGATGAGCGCCCTCATTCCATTTCCCTCCAAGTGCAAAGTTTGCACAGTATAACCTGATGCCATAGGACCCACTCTCTTCAAATACAATTTCGGCATCTTGGGTGGCTTCACAAAAACACAACTTCATATCCAGAGCGGATTCACTGATCGGGTTGGTGGTTATGTTAGTGCACTTTTTGGAGAGATGCTAATCTCATGTTGACGTCAAGTAATACTATTGCAGACCTACTCAAAGCTGCTTTGGATGCCGGTCTGTTTTGGCCACTGGCCTAGAGCGATCTCCAGTTTCACCCAATCTAGATCTCAACCCAGGGCATTGGTTTCCCCATCACATCCCGTCCCACCATCATTTGGTTTGCAAAACTACCTGTGATGAGGAAGCTATGTGTGATCAATGCTAATTATGGCTTTTATTGAGCTGCGTCTGTGGACTTGGGGGGAATGCTAATTGAGTGCCTTATTGATTATCGAAAGGTACCGTCATGCGCTCGCTTACATTTATCTTGTCATTAAGTGCCTCGGGCTTGTATAGGAAAGGCAGGGCATCTATTCCGAAGTAGATAAACAACAAGGACAACATTGGCGAAGGAAACGGATAATCCTTTGAAGAAGGAGATAGGTGCGATATTAATGGCTTGTCATTTTCTTAAAACTGGGAATTAGTTGATGTGCAGAACATAGGTGATTTGCCTTCTCAAAAGGGACAGATGCTTACTTACTTACTCAGGTGATGTGGTGGAGGCTCCTTCTATGGCTGGATGGCCATCTGTTGGGGGTGCTTTGAACACGGTTGGACTGGATGGCCCTTGAGGTCTCTTCCAACTCTATAATTCTATGATCCCTCATAGCCTGAGGGTGATGGTCCTCCATGTGTAGCGTCTTGGCGGTGGGTCCATAGGTGCCTGTGGATCCCTATTGTTGATCTGCATGTTCTTCCACAGTGAGGACATCGGTTTCCAGGTGGAAGGTGTCCTAGTCAGGGTTGGCTTGACACGCCTTCCTCTTGGCACGTTTCTCCTCTTTCACCCTCCATTTGTCTCTTCAATTCTGCAGCACTGCTGGTCACAGCTGACCTAGCTAGAGTGCTCAAGGGCCAGGGCTTCCCAGTTCTCTTTTGATGCCTATGCCACAGTTTTGAAGGTTGGCTTCAATCCCGTTTCCTGTCCATCAACATTCCGTTTTCTGTTTTTGAGTTGAGAGTATAGTAACTCCTTTGGGAGATTGTGATCTTCAGGCATTTGGACAATGTGCCCAGTCCAGCAGAGTTGATGACGTAGGAGCATCACTTCAGTGCTGGTGGTCTTTGCTTCTTCTAGCACACTGACATTTGTCCGCATGTCTTCCCGAGAGATTTGCAAGATTTTTCAGAGGTAGCGCTGATGGAATCATTCCTGGAGTTGAGTGTGATGTCTATAGACAGTCCACTTTTCGTAGTCATATAGCAGGGTTGGGAGGACAATATTGATTTATTGATCTATTTGCAGTATTTATATACCACTTTTCTCACCCCTGGGGGGGTGTTCAAAGTGGTTTAATAGCTTTATAAACAATCATCTTGATCTCCCTACGGAGATCTCTGTTTCATTCGCAAGAATTCTGCACTCGCAGAGCTCAGGCAGTGTTGTATTTCAGCGTCAATGTTGACTTTTGTGAAGAGGTGGCTGCCAAGGGAGCAGAAATAGCGTTATAAACAAGCACCTTGCTATTCCTACGGATGTCCCAGTCCTCAAACACTCTCTGCTTCATTTGGAAGAATGCTGCACTCGCAGAGCTCAGGTGGTGTTGTATTTCAGTGTCAATGTTGACTTTTGTGGAGAGGTGGCGCCAAAGGAACGGAAGTAGCATTATAAACAAACCCCTTGGTCTCCCTATGGATGTCCCAGTCCACAAACACTCTGCTTCATTCGGAAGAATGCTGCACTCGCAGAGCTCAGGCGGTGTTGTATTTCAGTGTCAATGTTGACTTTTGTGAAGAGGTGGCTGCCAAGGGAGGAAAATAGCTCTATAAACAAGCACCTTGGTATCCCTACGGATGTCCTGGTCCTCAAACACTCTCTGCTTCATTCGGAAAAATGCTGCGCTCGCAGAGCTCAGGCGGTGTTGTATTTCGGTGTCAATGTTGACTTTGGTGGAGAGGTGGCTGCCAAGGGAGCAGAAATAGCTTTATAAACAAGCACCTTGGTCTCCTACGGATGTCCGTCCTCAAACACTCTCTGCTTCATTTGGAAAAATGCTGCACTCGCAGAGCTCAGGTGGTGTTGTATTTCAGTGTCAATGTTGACTTTTGTGGAGTGGTGGCTGCCAAAGGAACGGAAGTAGCATTATAAACAAACCCCTTGGTCTCCCTATGGATGTCCCAGTCCACAAACACTCTGCTTCATTCGGAAGAATGCTGCACTCGCAGAGCTCAGGCGGTGTTGTATTTCAGTGTCAATGTTGACTTTTGTGGAGTGGTGGCTGCCAAAGGAACGGAAGTAGCATTATAAACAAACCCCTTGGTCTCCCTATGGATGTCCCAGTCCACAAACACTCTGCTTCATTCGGAAGAATGCTGCACTCGCAGAGCTCAGGCGGTGTTGTATTTCAGTGTCAATGTTGACTTTTGTGGAGAGGTGGCTGCCAAGGGAGCGGAAATAGCGTTATAAACAAACCCCTTGGTCTCCCTACGGATGTCCCGGTCCTCAAACACTCTCTGCTTCATTCAGAAGAATGCTGCACTCGCAGAGCTCAGGTGGTGTTGTATTTCAGTGTCAATGTTGACTTTTGCTGCCAAGGTAGCCGAAAGGGTCAACATTTTCTAATGTTACACCATTAAGCACAGATGCACAGGTTTGGCAGCCATCATTTTGGATGTCGTTGGGCATCCTGCAGTGGAATTCCTGTATTAAGCAAAAGATCGAGTATGTTGCACTCCAGGCCAGGAAACAGCTAGGACCACTGCACCACACAAGAGTCCAGGAATATAAACAAACAATTTATTGTAAAAGCATATAAAACGCATATAAAATCAGGAATAAGAAGGGAAGATACATAATTCAAAAAGGTTCAGCAACAGGTGATAACCAAACATTGATCCAAACGTCTTATAAAATTCCAGAGGTGATAAAGTCCAGGAAAATCCAGAAATCGCAGGTACAGCATCAGTCCACAAGCTAAAAGGTATAAATAGACTTGAACAGGAATACAAAAACTTCTAGGATATATTAAATCCAAAACCAAGGCTTGACTTGAACCAAGAACCAGACAACTCAGGCTTAGCTTCTCACTCCAACGCTACGTTGCCTGAACTGACCTTAAGGCAAACAACTTGCTGGTTAATAGACACCCATGAAATCATTCCCTTTCCCATGAAATTTCTCCCTAACTTTCCCACGTAATCTCTCTGAACAACACAATCTTGATTTGTAAACAAAGATTTTTTTACTCTGGTTTTCTCCTGGGGACCCTCCTTATCACTCAGCTCTTCACTCGATTCATTATCTGCTGTTGCTACTTCTGACTCCCCCGAATGCCCTTGAGGGGCACTTTCCGAGGCAGTTTTTTCACAGAGAGAACCATCATTTCCCAGACTTGAGAGCCCATCACTTTGTGCCACAGAAAAGCTCACAACCCTCTCTAAATCATCAGTTAAATCACTAGCAGACTGATGTACAACAGAGTAAATGATTTGTATGTTTACAAATCGGTCATGAGACCCATGGGAAGCAAATATTAAAGAGTATTCTTCCCAACCCTTCCCCTAAATGTTTTGTGGTTCCTCTGACTGGCAATAATTTTTCGGGCGTCTTATTCTTAGCCGTCTTCCTTGAGAATATTAAGCCAGGGTTGTTTGACATGCAAAGCGAGTGCGCGTTAATGAGTATCGACTTCTCCTCCCAGGTGAAATTGTCTTGAACAGAGTTGGACCGTTGTTCCGTTGCTTCCAATATGGCGGACGTTGATTGACAGCCGTTCTCCGGCCTTTTCTCTTTTGCATTCAAAGCAACCTTCCCAGCAGCCTTGCGAGGAAACCCATTGCTCCCATTTCACAGACTCTGAGAGTTTACCCCTGAGCAGGAGAAGTTGGGTTGACTTTTTTCAGATGTGGGTTCAACGTCTATATGGGTTTAATGGCCTTTCTTTTCTACGGAGACATACAAACTGGGAACTAATGTAAAACCTCTGCTTTTCCTTTTTAGTTTATTGGTAGTTTATTGAACTCTCTTTTGCTCTTGGCTGGTTTCAACACCTTGTTTTTCTCTGTATCCACAGTGTGTCGCGGCGTGCTCTGCGGGTTTGGTGCCGTGTGCGAAAGGAGCCCCACAGACTCCTCCCAGGGTGTGTGTGTATGCAAGAAGACCACCTGTCCTTCGGTGGTGGCTCCCGTCTGCGGCTCGGACTATTCAACCTATAGCAACGAATGTGAGCTGGAGAAGGCTCAGTGCAACCAACAGCGCCGGATCAAGGTCATCAGTAAAGGAGCTTGCGGTAAGTGGTGGCACGTGACTTTTTGTGTATCCTCTTCTTGACGCACAATTCTGTTGTCTCCTGGGTTGAAAAGAGACTCTAGGCCAGAGCTTTCCAAACATTTCACACTTTTTAGACACGCATCATTTCTCGACACAGTAATTGAGCTTTCTTTGCAAACCGGAGCTTAAACCAACCCTTTATGAGAGATACATACACATACATAAACAGCACAGGGACTATCAGAAAACACATATTTCTGATGGTCTTAGGAATGCCTTTGTTATTCACGCATCATTTCACGACACAGTAATTGAGCTTCCTTCGCAAACCGGAGCTTAAACCAACCTCTTGTGAGAGATACATAGGCATCAATAAATAGCAATAATGTAATGTATAGGGAGCATCAGAAAACACATATTTCTGATGGTCTTAGGAATCCCTTTGTCATACACGCATCATTTTGTGACACAGTAATTGAGCTTTCTTCACAAACCGGAGCTTAAACCGGTGGGAAGTTTGGTTCATTTCCGTCGTTGGTGGAGTTTAGAATGCTCTTTGATTGTAGGTTAACTATAAATCCCAGCAACTACAACTCCAAAACTCAAGATTAATGCCCATCAAACCCTTCCAGTATTTTCTATTGGTCATGGGAGTTCTGTGTGGGAAGTTTGGTTCCATTCCATCATTGGTGGAGTTCAGAATGCTCTTTGATTGTGGATGAACTATAAATCCCAGCAACTAAAACTCCAAAACTCAAGGTTAATGCCCACCAAAACCTTCCAGTATTTTCCAGTATATTGCTCATGGGAGTTCTGTGTGTCAAGTTTGGTTCAATTCCATCGTTGATGGAGTTCAGAATGCTTTTGGATTTTATGTGAACTATAAATCCCAGCAACTACAACTCCCAAAGGACAAAACCAAAACCCAGAATGCTTTAGAGACTCTGTTAGACTCTCAGAACAGAGGGGATGCTTTTAAACCAATGGTGTCCAACCTTTGGCCCTCCGGGTGTTTTTTTTTTTTTTTTGGTGTTGACCAGTTCTGGGACTATTCAGACTCAAACTCCATTTTAGAATTTATTAGAAACAGAATGCTTTAGTGACTCTTTTAGACTCTCAGAACAGAGGAGATGTTTTTAAACCAATGGTGTCCAAACTTTGGTCCTCCAGCTGTTTTTCTTTGGTGTTGACCAGTTCTGGGACTATTCAGACTCAGACTCCATTTTAGAAGTTAGCAGAAACAGAATGCTTTAGAGACTCTGTTAAAATTCTCTAAACAGAGGGGATGCTTTTAAACCAATGGTGTCCAACCTTTGGTCCTCCGGGTGTTTTTCTTTGGTATTGACCAGTTCTGGGACTATTCAGACTCAGACTCCATTTTAGAATTTAGTAGAAACAAAATGCTTTAGAGACTCTGTTAGACTCTCAGAACAGAGGGGATGCTTTTAAACCAATGGTGTCCAACCTTTGGTCCTCCAGGTGTTTTTTTTTTTTACCAGTTCTGGGACTATTGAGACTCAGACTCCATTTTATTATTTAGTAGAAACGGAATGCTTTAGGTACTCTGTTAAGACTCTCAGAACAGAGGGGATGCTTTTAAACCCATGGTGTCCAGCCTTTGGTCCTCCAGGTGTTTTTTTTTTAACCAGTTCTGGGACTATTGAGACTCAGACTCCATTTTATTATTTAGTAGAAACAGATTGCTTTAGGTCCTCCAGGTGTTTTTTTTTTTTTGTATTGACCAGTTCTGGGACTATTCAGACTCAGACTCCATTTTAGAATTTAGTAGAAACAGACTGCTTTAGAGACTCTGTTAGACTCTCAGAACAGAGGGGATGCTTTTAAACCAATGGTGTCTAACCTTTGGTCCTCTGGGTGTTTTTCTTTGGTATTGACCAGTTCTGAGACTGTTCAGACTCAGACTCCATTTTAGAATTTAGTAGAAACAGAATGCTTTAGAGACTCTGTCAAAGCTGAGCTAAGGAAGGGTAGAAGGCAGTCTGGGTGCTGCTTCATAGCTTCCTTTCCAGCTTGAAACCTGAAAAGAGTTCCTGGACGAGGAATCGGGAATCGGGAATCAGTCTCTGTCTGTGTCTTTCTGCTGGTGCCACTTCCTCTTCCTTCACAACAATGGGGTCCATCAGGACCTGCTTTCCATCGACTCCAAAACAGAGCCTTTGCAAAACACGCACGCATCCCACCCGGACACTGATGCGCCGAACCCGAAGTAGGTCATTTTCCGGAGCGGCCCTGTGAAGGAGACTAATGAACCCTCCCTGGCAGCGCGGCACGCACCAGCTGCAAGCGAAGAGTGGCGCAAATGAAACTTCCCAGCGCGGCATCTCTCTGAGTAAATTAACGTGACCTTTTTTCCTCCCTCCCCTGAAGAGGAGGCTCCGAGGCTCACAATAAATCTGAGCTTCCCCCTCTTGCTTGGGGCTGGAGATGGGGAGAGGAAAAGGAGATGGGGGTGCCAACGTGATTTATATAACATAATAATAGGGGAATGGAGGGATGGGGGGAAAGTGACAAATGAAAGAGGGGGGAAAACAATTAAATAAATAAAGGGGAACCAATAACGCACACGTTGGCCCATCCGGGTTGAATGGCGAGCAGCTTCTTGACGTCTCTCTCGCTCTAATTACATTTTCCTTGCAGAGCGTTAAGAGCATCTTGTTGACCGGGCAAGTCTTCTTTTGGCTTTTTAAAAAATGGGCTTACAGCAGCAGAAGCCTCTGTTTCTATGGCAAAACAAATGCAGACCCGGTTTTCAAAGAGTTGGGTTCTCACTGCCACAAACACGAGAGTAGTAGCTGGTATCTTGGTCTCAAAACAACCCAAGTGTTGGAAATAGCAAAGTGTTTCTATATAATTCAGGTTGTTTACTGTATTTTATGTGTGTGCATTGGCGTGCAGTTTTCCTTAACTCTTATGTTGTGGGAGTGGCTGCAGACCATGTGACCAGATCTGGGACTGTTCAGACTCAGACTCCATTTTAGAATTTAGTAGAAACAGAATGCTTTACAGACTCTGTTAAGACTCTCAAAACAGAGGAAATGCTTTTAAACCAATGGTGTCCAACCTTTGGTCCTCCAGATGTTTTTCTTTGGTGTTGACCAGTTCTGGGACTATTCAGACTCAGACTCCATTTTAGAAGTTAGCAGAAACAGAATGCTTTAGAGACTCTGTTAAAACTCTCTAAACAGAGGAAATGCTTTTAAACCAATGGTGTCCAACCTTTGGTCCTCCAGATTTTTTTCTTTGGTGTTGACCAGTACTGGGACTATTCAGACTCAGACTCCATTTTAGAATTTAGTAGAAACAGAATGCTTTAGGGACTCTGTTAAGACTCTTAGAACAGAGGCGATGTTTTTAAACCAAGGATGCCCAACCTTTGGTCCTCTGGGTGTTTTTCTTTGGTGTTGACCAGTTCTGGGACTATTCAGACTCAGACTCCATTTTAGAATTTAGTAGAAACAGACTGCTTTAGAGACTCTGTTAAGACTCTCAGAACAGAGGGGATGCTTTTAAACTAATGGTGTCCAACCTTTCCTCCTCCTGGTGTTTTTCTTTGGTGTTCACCAGTTCTGGGACTATTCAGACTCAGACTCCATTGAGAAACACTGATCTATGCTGACGATCGTGTCATCACAGCTCAAGCAAAATAATGTTACGGTTGGGGAACGCCACAACATGAGGAACTGTATTAAGGGGTCGCGGCATTAGGAAGGTTGAGAAACACTGAGCTACGCTGACAATCGTGCCATCACTGCTCAAGCAGTGAGCTTTGAAGGTTGAGATCCAGTGAGATAGTTTTAGGAGGTTGAGATCCAGTGAGAGAGAGTTTTAGGTTACAGGAGAGAAGGAAGATCACAAATTGTAAAGGAAGCAGCGTGGTCCCATGGGTGCATTGCATTTGATCCTGGCCACCATTAGAATGGGAGGGTAAGATCAAAGGAATCTGAGATTATTTACCTGAGAGAGCTGTCCTTCTTGCAAGGATTCTTCCCTCCTTTCCCTTTGTTTTGCCTTATTTCACAGAGACAAAGCGATCCCTGGGTGACATCGATAGCCTTTCTCCCGGCTCCCATCCTCACGTCACACCTAGTGGCATGACCTAGTAACCTACAAAATCCCCATTAAGAAATCTGTGCCTTTTGCAAGAATGCAGGCAGTCAAGAAGGGAAGTGGGAAATGCACTCCCTCGAGCAGTAGAAACATGGATTAGTGCTAAAGATGGTGGGACTGACGTGTGAATCCCAAAGGCTGGAGGTCGAAAGCGGTCCCCAAATGGATGTTAGGATGCAGCCAAGCTGGAAAGGAAGTAGCTTGGCTTCTCAGTCACCTCTTTATTTTGGAAGCTGCACCTTACACTATAACATTATCTCATTGATCACAACACAGTTTCTCTCGTTTGTTTATCATATCTCAAGCGAATTGAGGATACAGTTATAATGTACTTAAAAACACAACAAAACAGCCAATCGTCCACATACGGGACTACCACTTAGTCACCACATCTGGATCTGTTTACTAAATAGTTGGGTTCTCTTGCCAAAGCCAGGAAGATGTGTTCTGCATCTGTCCAAATCCACCACTGATAGCCCCTGCTTTTGGTTACTCACTTAGTCTCTATTTATTTATTGTACCAGGAGCATACCAAACAGTTGTATTGTATTTAAAACAAAACACAAAGTTTGCAAACTTGGCATTCTATTAAATGTCCTTTGGCCAGTAGCTGGCCACTTGGAGTGCCTCTGGGGTTGCTATAAGAAGGTCCTCCATTGTGCATGTGGCAGGGCTCAGTGCATTGTAGTAGGTGGTCTGTGGTTTGCTCTTCTCCACTCGCATGTCGTGGACTCCACTTTGTGGGCCCATTTCTTAAGGTTGGCTCTGCATCTCGTGGTGCCAGAGCGCAGTCTGTTCAGCACCTTCCAAGTCACCCAGTTTGTATGCCCAGGGGGAAATCACTCATTCGGTAACAGCTATGGATTGAGGTTCTGGGTTTTAGCCTGCCACTTTTGGTCTCTTGCTTGTCTGAGGTGTTCCTGGAAGTATCTCTGTAGATCTTAGGAAGCTATTTCTTGATTTAAGGTGTTGGTATGCTGGCTGATATCCGAACAGAGGATGGGCCAGAGATATCCATGTCTTGGTCCTTTCATTACAAGCTGCTACTTCCTGGCGGATATCAGGTGATCCAATACTGACTAAACAGTATAATTTCTCCCATGGTGTAGTGCTGTGATAATGTGGCATGTCTCATTAAGAGCTACACCCACTGTTTTAACATGGTGAGTTGTATTCCACGCTGGGCATGCATATTCAACAGCACAGTAGCAAAGCGCAAGGGCAGGTGTCTTCACTGTGTCTGGTTGTGATCCCACGGTTGTGCCAGTCAGCTTTCGTATGATATTATTCTTCGCACCCACTTTTGTTCGACTATCTCAAAGCTCCCTGCTTGAGCAGTAATGGCACGATCATCAGCATAGATGAAACTCTCTGTCCCTTCTGGCAGTGGCTGGTCATTTGTGTAGATGTTGAACATGGATGGAGCAAGCACGCTCCCCTGAGGCAGGCAATTTTTCTGTTTCCGCCATCTGCTTCTCTGGCCCTGGATGCTTTCACTGTGTCTGGTTGTGATCCCTAGGTTGTTCCAGTCAGCTTTTCGTATGATATTATTTCTAGCACCAACCTTTTGCTTGACAGTCAAGCAGTGCTTCTTGTAAGTCAGAGCAAGGTCCAGAGTGACTCCCAGGTCTTTGGGTGTGCTGCAATGCTCCAGTGGGATTCCTTCCCAGATCTTCCTCAGAGCTCGAAATGCTTGTCTGTTCTTAAGGTGAAAAGCACACATCTGTGTTTTAGATGGATTACGAATCAGCTGATTTTCCCTGTAATAGGCACGAAGAGGACGTAAAGCTTTGGAGAGCTTCTGTTCAACCATTTCAAAGCTCCCTGCTTGAGCAGTGATGGCATGATCGTCAGCATAGATGAAACTCTCTGTCCCTTCTGGCAGTGGCTGATTATTTGTGCAAATGTTAAACATTGCTGGAGCAAGCTGGTTTCCCCTGTAATAGGCAGTAAGAGCACCTAAAGCTTCGGAGAGCTTCTGTTCAACCATTTCAAAGCTCTCTGCTTGAGCGGTGATGGCATGATTGTCAGCATAGATGAAATGCTCTGTCCCTTCTGAAAGTGGCTGGTCATTTGTGTAAATGTGAAACATTGAGGGAGCAAGCTGGTTTTCCCTATAATAGGCAGGAAGAGCACCTAAATCTTTGGAGAGATTCTGTTAAACTATTTCAAAGCTCCTTGCTTGTGTGGTGATGGCACGATCGTCAGCATAGATGAAATTCTCTGTCCCTTCTGGCAGTAGCTGATCATTTGTGTAAAGGTTAAACATTGATGGTGTGAGCTTGTTTTCCCTGTAATAGGCAGTAAGAGCACCTCAAGCTTCAGAGAGCTTCTGTTCAACCATTTCAAAGCTCCCAGCTTGAGCGGTGATGGCACGATTGTCAGCATAGATGAGACCCCCTGTCCCTTTTGGCAGTAACTGGTCATTTGTGTAAATGTTAAACATTGATGGAGCAAGCTAGTTTTCCCTGTAATAGGCAGTAAGAGCACTTAAATCTTTGGAGAGATTCTATTCAACCCTTTCAAAGCTCCTTGCTTGAGCGGTGATGGCACGATCGTCAGCATAGATGGAACTCTTTGTCTCTTCTGGCAGTGGCTGATCATTTGTGTAAATGTTTACATTGATTCCCCTGTTGATCAGCCATATCCGAAGTCCTGGAGGCTGATCCTTTTGTCTGCCAGGTCTATCACATCGTTTCCTCATCTTTCTGGGTTGTCTCCCTGCTCCAGGTTCAAAGGACCCTTGCGCCGACGTGACATGCAGCTTTGGCAGCACCTGCGCCCGCTCCACGGACGGACAGTCGGCCAAATGCATCTGCCCATCCTCCTGCAGCGGCATTCCTGAGAACACGGTGTGCGGCAGCGACGGCAAGGATTACCGCAGCGAGTGCCACCTCAACCGGCACGCCTGCGACAAGCAGGAAAACATCTTTAAGAAGTTCGATGGCCCTTGCGGTTAGTTCGCCTTTCCGAGCTGTCATTTTGTTTTCTGTTTGGGAAATGCGAGCGTGGTGTGTGAGAGTATGGGTTTAGGACAGAGATAGTGGTAGTAGTAGTAGTAATAATAATAATAATAACTGCAAAGATTCTGGCACAAGCCAGTCAAGGTGGTCCCAGTGGTGATTGGCACGCTGGGTATAGTGCCTAAAGACCTTGGCCTGCACTTAAACACAATATTACCGTATGTCAGCTGCAAAAGGCCACCTTACTGCACACATTATTCACCGATAAACCACACAGTCCTAGACACTTGGGAAGTGCCCGACGTGTGGACCAGTACAACAGCCAGCAAAGTGTCTGCTGTGGACTCATCTTGTTGTGTTTCAAATAATAATAATAATAATAATAATAATAATAATAATAATACATTATTTATATTCCGCTCTATCTCCCCAAGGGGACCCACTTAGCCCTTCGTATCACTTAGCTCTTCGCCTAACTCCTTATCTAATGTTGCAATTTCTGGCTCCTCTGACTGGCCTTGAAGCCCTGCACTTTCTGAGTCAGGTTTTTCCCAGAGAAATAATAATAATAATACACTTTATTTATATTCTGTTGTATCTCCCAGATACAAGGACTCAAGAGTGGATTACTCTCTCTCTCTCTCTCTCTCTCTCTCTCTCAGTGCCTTTTATATAGTGAACAATGACATACAATACACAAACAAAGGCAAAGGTTTCCCTTTCCATCTCCGGCGTCTGGAGGCAATGCTCAGCTCTGGCCATGAGGAGGTGCTCTTGTTACGTTTTTCCATGCCAAGGAAAAATGTTGTCTGTAGACCTTCCTGGTCATGATTTGCCAGCATGGCTGTATGGGCACCTTTTCCTTTCCCACTAAGGCGGTACCTATTGATCTACTCACATTACATGTTTTTGAACTGCTGGGTTGGCAGAAGCTAAGGCTGACAGCGGGAGCTCACCCTGACCTGTGGCTTTTAACCACTAACCTTCCGGTCAGCAAGTTTTTCTGCAGCTAGCAGTTTAACCCACTGTGCTACCACAGCCCTAGTGATTTGGTAAACCTTGATTTTCTTTCCAATTCCCAAGGATTTTAGGAACTACAATTCTTCTTCATCCTCTAACTTTAGGATATTTTGGCATTTATTTACTTATGTATTTATTTATTTATTTACACTCCGGGTTTTTGGGGGGGAGGGTGTTCCTGGTCACACCGTGAGTTAAACGGTTGAGCTGCTGAGCTTGTTGCAGGTTTGAATGAGGGGAGCGGCGTGAGCTTCCACTGTCAGCCCCAGCTTCTGCCAACCTAGGAGTTCGAAAATATGCAAACATGAGTAGATCAATGGGTACCGCTCTGGCGGGAAGGTAACGGCGCTCCATGCAGTCATGCCAGCCACATAACCTTGGAGGTGTCTATGGACAACGCCGGCTCTTCGGCTTAGAAATGGAGATGAGCACCATACCTTTACCTACACGCCAAGAGGAGTCAGGGCGGATCACAATGCACGCATACACAGCAAACATCCAATGCCGTTTTTAGACATATAAGACAGACAGACAGAGGTATTTCGGCATTTCTCAACTTTAGCGCCTGGAGGTTATGCTCGATTCCAGCCACAGGGAGGTGCTATCACGTCACCTGCTGTGATGACAAACCCTTCTTTTATTGTAGAATTTTCATCCTTGTTCGTTGATTGCTGGCATTTTATGGTGTCGTAAAATACCTCCCCGCTGAAGCGGTGCCTAATATCTCTACGCACAGCTCAACTGTTTTCAAACTGCTTAGGTGGACAGTAAACTAGGCTTGACAGTCGGGTGCTCAATCCGACTCGGGCTTCGAACTTGCTACTTTCAGGTCAAGAGTGATGTATTACTGCTGGGGACTAACCCGTTGTGCTACAGCCTGGCCCTAAGAATGACAAAAAAATTGCAGTTTATCTATAAAAGTTCCACAGTTGCCTAGAAAACTGTAGTTTTCCAAAACTTGCATAACCTTCAGCATAGAAACTGAGGGCAAAATTGCATAACATTGGAACAGTTCAAAGGCTGCCGCTTCAAATCGGCCTGAGCGTCTTTCCCATATGTTTTGCAAACTGTTCAAGCTGGCAAAGGCCACCGCCATGACATCGAACTCTTCAACAGAATGTCTAAGCATATAGCAAGAGACATTTGAAGCTGTTAGGAGTATTTGTTTCCCAGTTTTCTGTGTGTGAGTGTACGAGGAGCGTTCATTAAAGCTTTCCCCTGACCCACTTCCTGTGGACAGAGAGCAATGGAACTTGGCCCAGTTCCGAGTCCTTCTCTCCATGGGTGCCACCTCGGGACACACGCTTCTCCCATCTTTTGGAGCAACTGTAAACACTAGACTTGTGGGTTTGATGCAGAAATACCCTTGATTCAGATCTAAAAGGAGCCTGTGATTCTTAAGTTTCGGATGTGTTTGGATGTAGCTGCAACGGAGCTAAAATTCACAGCCCTGCTGAGAGGCGAAGCCAAACCTGTTAGCAGGTTTAAGAACTTTGAAAATTTGCCAAAACTCCATGGAGAAGTCAAATGTTCTGAAATTTGGTGAGCTAACAGTGGTTGGATGTGTTTGGATTTAGCTGTGACAAAGCTAAAATTCACAGCCCTGCTGAGAGGCGAAGCCAAACCTGTTAGCAGGTTTAAGAATTTTGAAAAATTGCCAAAAATCCATGGAGAAGTCAAACATTCTCAAATGTTGGGGTTCAGCCTGAATTTGAACTTGAACCTGATTCTCTGTTTGTTCCTCCTGATGCTAATGAAAGTATATTTACTGATGCTAGTGGAAATGTACCTTTTGATGCCAATGCTCCTGAAATTAGTGAGGAAGAAACTGCTGTAGGTTTGGAAAATGCCAATGTTCCTGAAATTAGTGAGGAAGGAACTTCTGTAGATTTGGAAAATGAAAGTACCAGTGTTCATGAGAATGTTTCAGAGGGAGACCTTGAACTTTCCCTCCCTTCTGCACCTGTTAACTGTAATGACAACAGAAGGGGCCAAATTTGGGAAGACAGAAGTAAATCACTCAGTTTGCGTCGATCCTCCCGAATTCAAGAATTAAAAACATTGGCTTCAAAACAGAAGGGCGGTTCACGGAACCAATTCTTGAGTTTTAATTGCAATACGCCGAGCTGATTGTCTCAGTTGAGGCATCGTTTCAGAATTGATGAAGACCTTGGCAGTTCTCCCGGTTCCCTGGCCATAGTTTGGGAAGATTTCTAGGATATCAAGTACGGTTAGTGGATTGCTAACAGAATCCAGTATTTCCCAGTGAGGCTTTTGGTTTTGCTTTGTCCATTTAAATTCATGTTTGCTGATTTTGCTGTGGCTTTTGACTTGCATTTTTCCTTTATTTTGTAACCATTTTTCTTCAATAAAAAAGGATTGTTTTTCACAGCCAAGTGTGGTGGATAGTTATCTGAGGGCCTCGTTCCCTGCTCTGGATTGCAACATCAAATTTGGTGAGCTAACAGTGGTCAGTGTGTTCTACCACTGTAGCAAGTTTCATCAGGATAGCTCAAAAAATGAGGGAGAAAGAAGCTCCTCAAGTTTCCCCACTGACACTAATGCGCATGCTCAACTGCCAATAACAAAGTATTTATGAAGGTTCAGAAGTTTCATAAAGTTTTGAAATTTTTATCCCAAAATTTGGAAAGGACTTTACAAATGAAGCTCCAGCTCCCTCTACTTTTGAACACAGTTTAGAACTTCTTCTTCTTCTTCTTCTTCTTTGGATCACACATGCCTAGTAAACACCTTGCTTTGAGAAGTCGTCAGATTGCTCCAAAAGCCACATTGGGACTTCCGAAATCAGTGTCTCATCATCTCAAAAGTGTTTGGCATTCGAAAGTAACTTCATTGTTGGAAAGAGGCGGAAGTCCGATGGTGCGAGGTCGGGTGAATAAGGAGGATGCGGTGGAATTTCAAAGCCAGAGGAGCATGCTTCTTCCATTTGGCCAACATAGGAGTTGTGAACGGGTGCATTGTCTTGCAGAAGGCGGACACCTTTGGAGAGCATGCCACATTGTCTCTTGGTTCTGATGGCCTCCTGCCATATCCTCAGCATAGCCTTCCCCAGTGATCCTGGTCCCCTTTGCTAGGAAATCCATCCATACGACTCTGTGCTGGTTCCAAAATACTGTGAGCATGACTTTCCCTGCCGAGAGTTGGGCACGTGGAGGTGGGGGGTCAGGATGCTTTCTTTGCATCGACTGGACTTGAGTCTCGGAATCAGACGGATGGACTCAGTTTTTCTCCTGTGTGATCAGTCTGTTGACAAAGTCCTCCTGGCTTCCATGGCACGCCATTGTCAAGAGAGCCGGTGAGCATTCGACTTGTTCCATCTTCTGGAAAGGCGTGAGCAGCCGGGGGACCCAACGAGCGGATACCGTCTGCAGGTGAAGATGGTCTTATGTGATTTTTTTCCACAGACCCCACACGCATCTTGACATTTTGGGCTCGGTGGCGAATGGTCACGCAGCGAGTTTCCAAAATGGTGGCCTCCACTTGCTGGATCAATGGCCCTGGAATGGGAGCTGTTTGCACCAAAGTCCAACCACATTGGAATGGACAATGCCAGTTCTTGACTCTGTCATATGATGGGGAATCCTCACCATCAACCTCTTCCAGCTCATCGAACGTATCCTTTGGTGTGCGGACTTTCGAGTAAAGGAACTTGAGGACTGTCCTGTATTCCATTGGGTCCATTCTCAAACCTCACTCCACTTCTGCACCTGTATAATCAAGACCGTTATCAATTCTGAGTTGTAAATTGGCATGTAACCTATAGAAACTTATATCATGACACATGTGCAGTTTCAGCATCCTGCAAAGCTTTGCAATTGCAGATATTATTAGTTAGGCACAAAAACAAAGCTCAGTTTCATGGTAGGGAATCCTCACCATCAACCTATTTCATCTCATCGAACGTCTCCTTTGGTGTGCGGACTTTCGAGTAAAGGAACTTGAGGACCGCTC